ATATTCTTTAAAAAATCCACGCCTCTTGTAGTGGTCCTTGAAAAATATTCTTTAAAAAATCCACGCCTCTTGTAGTGGTCCTTGAAAAATATTCTTTAAAAAATCCACGCCTCTTGTAGTGGTCCTTGAAAAATATTCTTTAAAAAATCCACGCCTCTTGTAGTGGTCCTTGAAAAATATTCTTTAAAAAATCCACGCCTCTTGTGGTGGTCCTTGAAAAATATTCTTTAAAAAATTCAGGCCTCTTGGATTTGCTCCTTGAAAAAATACTCACCAAATATCAAAATTTATTTTTTTTTTTTTGTGCCAGCTGTCTACCGTATTACCTCATAGCGGCTCCAAAGTTTGTTCTACATATTCTTATCTTCCAAAAGTTATTTTACATATATGTTTATCGGCTTTTTTCAAATAAAATAAAAAAAAATATTGTTGTCTCCAACTAAAATATATACATACGAGTATATGACCTTAGCAAATCGTTTATCTATCCATTGGATTATTTGAAGATAAAGTCTTTCTGGATTAGAATATGAGTCACAAAGTTGAAATATGTCGGTGTTACCGATTCAATAACTGGTAAATAAATTGAAAACTTTGTTATATGCATCCCAATAACGTCACTTTGGATTTTTTCCCTCAAGCATAGGAAATTTCATTTCTACTGATTATCTGTGCCTTATTTTTTAAATTATCTTCTTGCTTTTTTAAATTTTAGAAATTGCAATATCAAAATTTCGAATATGTACTTCCTAATTTGATTTGTGCAATCAAAGGTTACTTTCTTGGGTTGATATCACCACCACCACTACCCCGTATTATTCATAGAGATATGATAATGGGGTTGGAGATTATTCGATTTGAAACAAACAGTATGGTTATTTAGGGGCCAACTAGATAATAATAAAAAAATTATCTAAATATGGTCGTTAATTAAAATATTCCGAATTGACCAAATATAAATCATTCAATTCGTTTTTGATTGACAGTTTGAAAAGGTCGTCTAAAGCGGTCTAGTAGTTAAGTATCTCCGATTTGAAAGGATACTTACATCAAACGGATTCCTTTTAAAATGGCGTAAGTGTTGATATCCTGGAATTAAAAAAAAGAATGTAAAAAAAATAGTGGAATAGAATAGAATGAAAAATTAAAACCAAATATGGACTGGCAAAAAATATTGAGATTGCTTGTGTAATAAAATGGTGGAAAAAATTACGTAAACTTGAAAAATAAAATATTAAAAAACCAATCGGAAATAATTACGTCAATGTGTATCAACAATTTCGGAATTTATAAAAAAAAACTGAATATTTTAAATTTAAATTTTTTTCAAGGACAACCAATAAGCGTGGATTTTTTAAAGAATATTTTTTCAAGGATCACTACAAGAGACGTGGATTTTTTAAAGAATAGTTTTTCAAGGACCATTAGAGGCGTGGATTTTTTAAAGAATAGTTTTTCAAGGACCATTAGAGGCGTGGATTTTTTAAAGAATAGTTTTTCAAGGACCATTAGAGGCGTGGATTTTTTAAAGAATAGTTTTTCAAGGACCACTACAATAGGCGTGGATTTTTTAAAGAATAGTTTTTCAAGGACCACTACAATAGGCGTGGATTTTTTAAAGAATAGTTTTTCAAGGACCACTACAATAGGCGTGGATTTTTTAAAGAATAGTTTTTCAAGGACCACTACAATAGGCGTGGATTTTTTAAAGAATAGTTTTTCAAGGACCACTACAATAGGCGTGGATTTTTTAAAGAATAGTTTTTCAAGGACAACTACAATAGGCGTGGATTTTTTAAAGAATATTTTTTTAGGGACCATTAGAGGCGTGGATTTTTTAAAGAATAGTTTTTCAAGGACCACTACAATAGGCGTGGATTTTTTAAAGAATAGTTTTTTAGGGACCATTAGAGGCGTGGATTTTTTAAAGAATAGTTTTTCAAGGACCACCACAATAGGCATGGATTTTTTAAAGAATATTTTTCAACCACCACTACAATATGCGTGGATTTTTTAATTTGAAAGATCATTTTTGGCAACGTTGTCTTCGATTTGATCTTTCCATCGTATTCGTGGCCATACCCTTCTGTGTGAACCATCAGCTTGTTCGCTTTTATATGCCTTCTGGGCTAGGGCATCCATTCTCACAACATGACCTAGCCAACGTAGTCGCTGCAGCTCAATACGTCTAACAATGTCGATGTCCGAGAATAGCTGGTACAACTTATGGTTCATTCGACGGCGATATTCACCGTCAACACTCCAAGAGCTGCCTCATCTGCTTGCATAAGTACCCATGCTTCAGATCCATATAACAGCACGGGTAGTATCTGCGTCTTGTAGAGTGTGAGTTTGGTCTGGCGGGAGGTGACCTTGCTTTTGAGTTGTTTGCTCAGACCATAGTAGCATCGGTTGGCCATCACTGTCCTTCTCCGAATCTCAAAACTGATGTCATTCGTTTTATTTATGGCGGTACCAAGGTATATAAAATCTTTGACTACATCGAAGCTATAGTTCTCAAGTTGTAGTTCACAGTTGTTCCGAGTCTACTGGACGTGTTGGTCTTCTCGCCGTTTACTGCCAGACCCTTTTCCTTCTCCTCCTTCTCGATTTGTTCAAAGGTAGTTGTTACCGCTCGCAATGTTCGACCCATTATATCGATGTCATCGGCGTAGGCAAGTAACATGTGTTGTTTGGTGTACAGAGTGCCATTTTGTTCACATCTCCAGCAGGATGTTAAAAAGGTCACACCTCAAACTATTACCTTGTCTGAATCCTCGTTCGATATTAAATGGCTCCGAGAGGTACTTTCCGACTTTAACTGCTGATCCTGTGCTTGTTAAAGTTATCCTGCATTGCCGAATTAATTTTGCAGAAACGCCAAACGCAGACATGGCTTTATACAGATCTGAACGAAAAGGGCTGTCGAATGAGTTTTATAGTCGACGAATAGGTGAAATGTGTCGATGTGTTTTTCGTGCCATTCTGTTCACATCTCCAGCAGGATGTTAAAAAGGTCAGACGACAAACAGTCAACTTGTCTGAATCCTCTTTCGATATTAAATGGCTCCGAGAGGTACTTTCCGACTTTAACGGCTGATCTTGTGTTTGTTAAAGTTATCCTGCATTGCCGAATTATGGTCCAATGATGTCATTGACCATTGGATAGCACTTTATATGCGATGGGAAGGAGACTTATTCCTCTATAGTTGGCACATATCGTCTTGTCTCCTGCTTTGTGCACAGGACACAGGATGCTGAGGTTCCAATCATTGGGCATGCATTCTTCTAGCCAAATTGTACTAATCAGCTGGTGCATGCACCTGACCACCAGTCTTCAATAATTCGGCTGGTGCTGTTTAATTATTCTTCAGCCGATTGCTATTCTGGTGGTATACACTCTATACCATCATCTCTCATTGGTTCTGGGGTATCCAATTGACTGCTACTATTTGATACCAGAAGTTTTTCAAAATGCTCTTTCCAGATCCTCAGCACGCTGTCTATATCTGTCACCAGGTTTCCTTCTTTATCTCTACAGGAGGATGTGCCTGCACCAAAGCCTTCGGTTTGGTGTTTTACCAGTTGATAGAATTTTCGAACTTCATTTTGACACCTGTAAATCTCGATTTGCTCAAGCTCACGTTTTTTTTTTGTTCTTTCTTCTTTTTGAAAATACGTTTCTCCTCTCTCCTTTTCTCCCGATAGTTCTCCATCGCATTACGTGTTGCTACTGTCCGCAGTGTTGCCCTATACGTACCACGGAGTTTACAGGGAGTGGGCAATTCTCTGCCATTGTGTTTCTATATTATTATCGGGACAAGGGGTAGACTCAGTGTTGTGTTTATAGCTTTTCGGCGACAAATTTCGCACCATTGCTTCTACATTAAGACGGGTGCGTACCATGGCTGACACAAGATAATGGTCCGAATCGATATTCGTTCCCCAGATCGATTGGACGTCTAAACACTGGGTGAATGCCTTCCGTCTATCACAACATGATCGATTTGATTTCTCGTTGTTCGATGGGGAGAAATCCAAGTGGTCTTGTGTATATCGAGATGCTTGAATCTGGTGCTTCTAACTACCATGTATTTTGCTGCCGCGAATTAAATATACCTCAGACCGTTGCCTGATGTTTCTTCATAGAGGCTGAATTTTCCGACGGTGTGGCAAAAGATATTTTCCCTTCCAATTTTTGTATTAAAATCTCCTAGCAGAATTTTAATGTCATGACCGGGACAACGATCATATGCTGTTTCTAGGCGCCTGTAAAATATGTCTTTGGTCTGTTCATCTTTATCTTCGGTCGGAGCGGGGGAGCAAATGAAGCTGATGTAGAAGAACTTCGCTTTTATACGGATTATAGCAATTCGCTCATCTACTGGAATGAATCTGGAGACGAGGTCTTTATTATTTTAACCATAAATCCGCATCCAAATTCATGGCTCGTTTCATGGCAGCTATAATATAGGGCGTAATCATCTGATTTACTTATGCCAGTCCCTTTCTATCGCATTTCCTGTAAGGCAATAATATCGGCTTCGTACTTCTTGAGTACATCCGCCAAAGCGAACACTGCGCCTGTTCTGTACAACGTGCGCACATGCCATGTGCAGATTCGCAGATCTTATTAAAATGCGTGGATTTTTTGAAGAATAGTTTATTAAAAGGCGTGAATTTTTTAAAGAATATTTTATTTAAGGACTATTAAAGCAGAGGGAGTTTTTAAAATTATTTTTTATCAAGGACTTTTAAAGGCGTGGCTTTTTCAAAAAAATTTTTCAAGGGTTGCAAAAAAAAAAATAAAGCATATTTTTCAGGGACCATTAAAGAGTGTATTTTTTTAAATATGTTTTCAAGTTTTTTTTTAATTATTTTAAGGAAAGGAAAGGAAAACAGCACTTAAAAAAAATTCCTAGTCCTTATTGGAATTTTTTCTGTTGAATATATTATCCCTTACTAAAAGATTTTCTTTTGATTGATCTATTTTTTTCCAGTTCCAATGGATGTTGCAAGAAACATGCCGGTCTGTGGATCATTCTGGCTATGCTGGTCATAGCTTTGCCTCTTGGCATAATATTTACCCTCAAGGATAGAGATGTTGATAATGAAGCTGGTGTTGGTGCTGTGGCTTCCAATGGTGAAGGATGTGCTGAAATTGGAGGTAACATGCTGAAGGAAGGAGGCTCCGCAATTGATGCTGCCATTGCCACACTGTTGTGCGAAGGTGTTATGCTGCCACATAGTTTAGGTGTTGGTGGTGGTTTTGTTGCCACTATTTATACCAAAGAAACGGGACGTGTGGAAACATTGATTGCTCGTGAAACAGCACCCGCGTTGGCTAATCAAGATATGTTTATTGGCAAGGAAATTACCGGTGCCATATCGGCTGCCATTCCCAGCGAAATTTATGGCTATTGGCGTTTACACGAGAAATATGGTAAATTGCCATGGAAGACTTTGTTTGAGCCGACCATCGAATTGTGTGTCAAGGGTCATAAGGTGTCACGTTATTTGGCCAATGTTTTAAATTTGAATGCAAATCGGATACGCAATGAACCATCAATGGCGGAGATTTTCATTAACAAATACACCAATGAATTGTACAAAGAGGGTGAGACCATGTACCGGCCACAATTGGGTGAAACTTTACGTATCGTGGCCAATGAAGGTCCTGAGGTTATGTATCGTGGTGGACGTATTGGCAAGAGATTGGTGGAAGATATTCAGGAAATGGGTGGCATTATTACCGAAGAAGATTTAATGAGATATGAGTAAGTTTGGAAGGGCAAACACAAGTCTTATATTTGCTTTATTAAAAATTAAAATTTTTCTTTCAGTGTCCGTTGGGAAGAACCCATTGTGGCCCATTTCACTGGCGGCTATTCTCTATATACCACTCCCTTGCCAACAAGTGGAGCCGTCTTGGCCTTTATTTTGAATGTTATGGAACCGTTGTATACCCGTCATCATGATGTTTATTGGCAGCGAGTTGTGGAGACCTTCAAACATGCCTACGGCCATCGTACCAATTTGGGTGATATCCATTTTGAACCTCAGGTCCAAGAGGTCTATGATCAGCTGAAGAGTCCCAAATTTGCTGCTAAAATTCGTGAACTAATCAAAGATGATGTCACATTTACCGATTTCGCTTACTATGGTGCCAATTTCACCAATGAGGAAGATCATGGTACTGCTAATTTGGTTGTGTTGGCGCCCAACGGTGATGCTATCTCGGTGACCAGTACCATTAATAGTCAGTAAGTAGAGAGAATATTTTTGAGGAACATTTTTTCAAGGACCACCATGATGCGTGGATTTTTTAAGGAATATTTTTTCAAGGACCAACAATAGGCGTGGATTTTTTAATATTTTTTCAAGGACCTCCAAGAGGCGTGGATTTTTTAAATACTTTTTCAAGGACCACCAATAGGCGTGGATTTTTTTAAATATTTTTTAAGGACCACCAAGAGGCGTGGATTTTTTAAAGAATATTTTTCAAGCGCCACCAATAGGCGTGGATTTTTTAAAGAATATATTTCAAGGACCACCAAGAGGCGTGGATTTTTTTAAATATTTTTTCAAGGACCACCAAGAGGCGGGGATTTTTTTTAAATATTTTTTCATGGACGACCAAAAGGCGTGGATTTCTTTAAGGAATATTTTTTTAAGGACGACCAAGAGGCGTGGATTTTTTAAGGAATATATTTTCAAGGACAATCAAGAGGCGTGGATTTTTTAAGGAATATTTTTTAAGGACGACCAAGAGGCGTGGATTTTTTTAAGGAATATATTTTCAAGGACAATCAAGAGGCGTGGATTTTTTTAAGGAATATTTATTCAAGGGTTATTATTGGCTTATAAAAAAGGCGTGGATTTTTGAAAAAATATATTTGTTCAAGGGTTATTATTGGCTTATAAAAAAGGCGTGGATTTTTGAAAAAATATATTTGTTCAAGGGTTATTATTGGCTTATAAAAAAGGCGTGGATTTTTTGAAAAAATATATTTTTCGAAGTTTTAAAAAAAGGCTTGGATTTTTTAAAATCATTTTTCCAGGGCAATATTTTTTTAAAGAGTATTTTTTCAGACCTTACAATTAAACCTTCATTTTTAATTTAATATTTTTTCTCGTTCTTCTCCAGCTTTGGTGCCAAGGTCCGTTCCCGTCAAACTGGCATCATATTGAACGATGAAATGGATGACTTCTCCACACCCGGTGTTATCAATGCCTATGGTATTCCAGCTTCACCTGCTAACTACATTAAACCTGGCAAACGCCCAATGTCTTCCACCTGTCCCAGTATTGTATTGGATAAACATGGTCATGTTAAGCTGTTGGTTGGTGGTGCTGGTGGTTCCAAAATTACCACATCTGTGGCTCAGGTATGAAGTGAAATATTTTCTCTAATATCTTATCTAATTATTTTCTACTTTTGTTCTTCAGACCATCCTCCGTTACTTTGTCTTCAATGAACCCATTGATATTGCCCTAAACTCTGGCCGTGTCCATCATCAATTGGCTCCCATGTTGGTCGATGTAGAACCTGAGGTACCCGACCACACCATGGATTATTTGATTCATGTTGGTCATGATTTGAATTATTTGCCAGCTGATAAAGCCTATTCGGCATTAACGGCCATTGGTCTCAAGACGCATGTACCACATCCGGTTTGTGATCGTCGTCGTGTTGGCAGTGCCGTTGTTGTACATCCCAAGAAATAAATGTGGTTGCTCCAATCAAACAGGTGTTCAAATCCAGTTCATATCCATCGAATTTAAGTGTGAAATAATATGTTTGTTGTTTGATCCAAATTAAATTTGTTTCTTGAATTTAAAATAAATTTATACGGAAGCCAAGTTGAGGATTAAATAATAATTTTTTATTTATCAAACGAGAATAATATTTTGCATATTTTACAGGTTTACATTTTTAATTTGATTTTTATGACACATTTTCTTATTGCAATATGGAGCAGTGGATCATGGATTCCTTGTTTTATTTGTGGAATTGAACTGAAAACGTCACCATTCGGTTCAAAACTTCCCACTTCCAGTTTGGTTTCTTAAGTAAAATTAGAGCAACAGGTGAACTACATAAAATCGGTATAATACATATTTTTAATATGTATTTTAAATACTGGAATTTAAAAGTATTGCCATTTAAAATTTTATTTTTTGGGCTTGATTCTCAAAAAAAAAAAACTTAGATTCGTTAAAATAAAATATAAAACTTTTATAAGAAATATAATTAAATTCAAAATGAATATTTATATATGTTTGCGGACCTATATGTAGTCTACCAAAAGTCATTGCGCCCAACTTATTCGTTTTAAAGTAGTACTTTATTTAAACGCAATATTTATTACTGCAATTACCATAATATGACACCCATTCAATTTAACTTTTAATCAAAGAGTTTAGCATTAAACAAATATTCAAAACTTAACTCTTCACAAAAATTCTCATTAATGTCAAAATACTACAGATTTCCTATCTTTATGATCAGTATCAAAATAGACATATTAAATTTTTATTGTGCGATACTATCTACAACAATCAGATGAACTAAACAGCATGCCGATTATGTGCCTAGAATAGGCGTTAATTTTTTTAAAAATATTTTTTAAGGCTTTCTTATTTTTTTCGAATACTATGTAAAATATTTTGTTTTGTGTTTACTTATGTGGCGCTATCACGAGGCGCATTATTAAATCATAAAAATTAAAAAGCAATAATAATATGTTTATTTTGAAAATTGCGATAATGTGCCAAATTTTAAAATATAACCATAATCTTAAAGCCTATACACCTAATCTTGGAGCACTACAATAAAGGCTAATTAGCTAAGAGATAATATTGGCACCACAGCCAATAATGCTAATCGTAAAAAAGTTTTACTCAAATCGACATCAAAAACGTATTTAGTTATCAACACTTGAACAGAACGCAATTATAGCTTATTTTTGGATGCAAATATTTAATAAATATTTGTATGAAATTAAAAAAATGTCAGATACTAGCATATGCCGCTACTTCGTTAGCGAATGTGTGTAATATTTAAACATATTATTATTTAATTTTCACAGAAAACTCCATGTTTTAGAAAAACACATTAATATCGACCACAGATTAATATCGACCATAAATTGAATTTGAGTACCACTTAGTTCACTCAAATCCAAATTTTACCAAATATAGTTCCATTTACCCTCCTCAACCATTTACAAAACTTCCTAAAACCTCCTTCTTACCACAAACCTACACCCCAAAGTGGTTCTAAATCCGATACAGGATTCAACTGTATCGGTTCACTCATTATTCAAATTGTACCAAATTTAGTACACAGTAGTATGAATTTCCAAAACTTAAATCCAAGTTTCAAGATTCCAACTCTATCGGTTCACCTATAATTCAAATTGTACTAATTTTTCCAAAACATCATACATACCATAATCCACCACCTCCAATGACCCTAAATCCAAGTTTCAGGATTCCAACTCTATCGCTTCACCCACAAATCAAATTGTACCAAATTTAGCACAGTAATACAAATTTCCAAAACTTCCTACATACCTCAGTTCTACACCTCCACAGTAATCCTAAATCCAATTTTCAGGATTCGAACTCTATCGGTTCACCCACAATTCAAATTGTACCAAATTTTGTGCACAGTAGGACCAATTTCCAAAACTTCCTACATACCCCAATCCTACAATCCCACAGTGTTCCGAAATCAAAATTTCAGGATTCCAACTCTATCTGTTCACCACCAATCAAATTGTACTAAATTTAGTACATAGTAGTGCCAATTTCCAAACCTTCCTACATATCCCAATCCACAGTGATCGTAAATCATAATTTCAGAACTCCAACTCTATCGCTTGACCCATAATTCGAATTGTACCAAACTTAATACACTTATTAAAAGTTTTTAAAACTTCCTACACCCCCACAGGGTTCCAAATCTATCGGTTCACTCACAATTCAAATTTAGTACATAGTAGTACCAATTTCCAAATCTTCCTACATACCCCAACCTACACCTCTACAGTGATCCTAAATCAAAATTTCGGGATTCCAGCACTATCGCTTTACCCACAATTCAAATTGTACCAAACATACATTAGTACTAATTTCTAACACTTCCTACATATCTCAATCTTACACCTCAACAGTGATCGTGACTCCAAATTTCATGATTCTAACTCTATTGGTTCTCCTAAAATTCAAATTGTACCAAATTTAGTACCGTTTAGTACACATAAGTATTATTTTCTTAAACGGAATCCTGACCCCAATTCCACACCCCTACAGTGATCCTAACTTCAAATTTCATTGTTCCCGCTCTATCGGTTCACCCAAATCCAAACTGTACCGATTATAGTACGATTTAGTACTTTTCGTACACACAAGTAACAAATTTCCAAAACTACGTTCATATCCCAATCCTGCACCCCGACCGTACTTTTAATTTCGAATTCCAGAATTCCAGCTCGATTTGTATATCCAAATTAAATTAGTGCCAAATATAGTACCATATAGTACTTTTCGTACACATAAGTACACACTTTCAAAACCATCTTCTTAAATGGACCCCACTTCACAACCATATTCACACTTCAAATTTCAAGTTTTTAACGCTATCCGTTCAAATGCTACAGAATTGTACCAAATTTAGTACATTTTCGTACTTTTCGGATAGTTCGAATTTCCAAAAATCCTTTGGTACATCTATCCTACACTCCATCAATGACCACCAAACCAAATTTCATAGTTCTAGCTCCACCGGTTCTCCAAATACAAGTGGTATCACATTTAGTACTTTTCCTCACGTTCTAGTACGAATTTCCAAAAACCCAGCCTTATCTGTCACCTTGGAGTGACCCTAACCCAAAATTTCATGATTCTAGCTTCAGCCGTTTCGCCTGGGCGTTGATGAATCGTTAAATCAGTCCGTCAGTCAATCACTCTTTATATCCACACCTATTGTAGTGGTCCTTGAAAAAATATTCTTTAACATATTCGAGCCTATTGTAGTGGTATCTCAAAAATATTCTTTAAAAAAATTCTAGCCCTTGAAAATTGTTCTTTAAAAAATACATTAGCTTGTATTTTTTTAAGAAAATGAAAAAAAAATCCACGCTTCAGTTATCATAATACTCGATATTCTGAAATAATATTCTGTGATTGTTTTTTGATATTTTACATGTCCGAGAGAGTTAAGTCTCTCTATTGGTTGAGTGGATGGAGAATGTTAATATCGTAAATTTTATAACGTAAACAAAAATAAATCCAACTACAACAGTCCACTCAACAACAGCAACAACAACAACGACGATAACTAACAAACAAAATAAAATGCCGATATGAACAACAATAAAAGGTTGTTGTTGCGCCGTACAACGAGTTGAGTCGGAACTCGAGAGTAGTGGAGTGAACATAACGGCTTACCTCGAACCCAAGCAAACCATTTAACGTGTAAATGCGCCACATTCAGTCCGCCAACGAATTGATCGAGTGAGGGTTGTGCGTTCGGACGTGGAAAAATCGATCGATCGTGTTAACAACAAGTCAATAATTATTCTATGCCACTTGGCCAAAAACAAAGTGTGTGCGTGTGTTTGTGGTGTTGTCGTTTTTAAGTCGGTGTTTTTTTATTTGTTCTTGTAAATACACGGTCGAAACGGATAGAAAGTGTATCGAAATTTCTTTGCAAATACCATAGAAGGACATTTTGTAAATTTTTGTATTAACTACACAAGAAACGTGTAAAAATGAAGTAAGTGAAGTAATTTGAAAAAAAAAACAACAACGTAAAAAAAAACGAGTGTAGAGTTTGAAATGGAAAACCTGGAGAACAGAAAAAGTCTCCACAAAATAGAAAAAAAACTCGTTCCCATTTAAAATTTGTTCAGAAATGTTCTACCACAATAAGTGATCTCTCTCCATCCCTCTATGTTTTATTAAATAATAAATAAATAATAGGAACAAAAAAATACTATTACAAATGGGAAATATTCAAATAACCAATTAATTGTGTGATTAGCAACTTTTAGAGCCAATGGCTATAATCACAATTCAATGACTATGACAATTGTGTTTCCATAATGTTTTTGCTGCTGTGTGTGTGTGTGTCTGTGTGATTTTTTTCCAAAATTGTCATTAGTGTTATTCCCCTTGACATGTCGCATTTTTGGTTGTTGTTTATTTTTTTTTTTTAATCCACTATTACCGGGTTTTTATTGATTTTGTTTGGAAAATACGTTTCAAAGTTTTGGGTTTTACAGCAACAAAAATGTTCTCATCAATTAAATGAACGATTCGCGATGTGCACTTGAATATTTAAATTTTTTTTTCATGCGGATTTTTTTAAAAAAAATATTTTAAAGAATTTTATAAAGTATATTTTTCTAAATATTCCAAAAGGGGTGGATTTTTTTTTTTAATTTTGCCCATGGTTAACAAAAAGTATTGATTTTTTCAGAATATTTTTTCAAGGGTCCAACGGCGTATATTCTTTAAGAATATTTTTTCAAGGATTACAATGCGTGTATTTATACCCTACACAACTATGTTGTCAGGGTATTATAGCTTTGTGCCGCCCCAAAAGTTTGTAAGGCCACGAAATATTGGTCCTAGACCCACTTTTAAGTATACCGATCGATGTGTGTCCGTCCGTCTGTCCATTATAATATGTAAACACGATACAGGCCACAGTTATGGACCCATCTTCACGAAATTTTGCATGTAGGATAGGTTCTGGCCAATGAAGACCCCTATTGGTTTTGGTACAGATCGGTTTTTTGTCGTTTTTTCTGGTCGCTCCAGAGACCGCAACTATGGCGCGAACATTTTACATGGAGAAGGGGATCGGGCCAAAGAATAAGCATGCCTGTTTAAGATCGGTTAATATTAATAATAAATAAAGATCGGTTAATATTTAAAGGGTCAAATGGACCCTGAATTTTTGTGAAAAATGACAAAATTTGTTTTCTATAGCGTATAGATTTACCCCTGAAGGACATTGGCCTGAGAAGTTGATAGTATATCCAAGAGGAGTGATTCACCTTTAAATTGATACCAATTATATTGTCGTATGTACTCGGATGTGGGAGTTACACATAAATAATTAACAGGTGTAAGCACCTGTTAAAAACATATTTAGTAACTCATTAGTAACTCATTACCACACTAGAGGTCGGAAATATAGCGCTGATCGCTTTGAAAATTTCCATGAAGTTCCAGATGTGGTCAAGGACAACGCCTATAATTTTCGGTGATCATCATATGATAATATTGGGACGAAGTGGACAGAAAACTTAATTTGTTGTGTTTTTTCGCGTCGATCTATGGGTCACAGTTGAAAGCCGAACATCACAACACAACCCACGGTGAAGGGAATCGCGACAAGTAATTCGAAGGGGTGTACTGAATATTATTAATATTCGGAATATATGTCTGTGTAAGGAAGAGGTGTTTTTGACCTTGGGCAAGAGGGCGCAAATATCATAAAAATATAAAAATCCGCAAAATCGTATGGTCGGCCCCCGTACCGCTCCGCTCAAATTTATTACAGGCGTGGTTTTTTTTTTTAAATATTTTGTTCAAGAATTTTAACAAATTTGGAGTTTTTAAAATATTTTATAAGTACTACTATAGGCGTCGATATTTTAAGAATATTTTTTCTAACCATTTTTGAGGCAATTTAGACTATTTAATATTTTTCAAGGAATGTGTAGGTGTTTATTTGCGGATTTCTTGTTGTGCCCATTAAGACTATTGCAAACGACTGCTACAACCATGTAAAATATCAACAGCTTCAGAACTGAATTTAATTGATTCCCTCAATTAACATTTAATTTCCATACTTATTTATCGTTTGTATGTAAGGTGAATGTAATATATTCAATAAGTTATGAACAAAAAAACATGTGCCTTATTAAGGTAAAAACAACTCATTACCCACTACAATAGCTAATATTTACTATAGAAAATTAATAGTCACGATTTATAAAAAAATAAATATGTGCGAATGACACAAATAAATATTTATGTATACATGTTCGCTTACTGCTGAATCTAACCTATTAATAAAAATGAAGGTAAGCTGGAAGAAGAAGAAGGAAATTTATTCTTAAAATAAATCTTTTTTTTCTATCCATGACTTGATCTTCAAAATATTTTAAAATCAGAGACCAAGAGATAATTTCCCGTTCTCGGACTGGCTGGTAGGAAATTTTGACCCATGGAAGAGGTATTCTCAAAAACTGGAGCTGGATGCCAGAATAAAAAATATGGGAGAAAATTAGAAGATCACAATTATTATAATTGAAGACAAAAAATCAGAATTCTGTAATATATTTATACCCTTCGCCACACTGTAGTACAGGATATTACATCTTTGTGCATATGTTTGTAACAAGCAAAAGGAAACGAGATAGATCCATGGTTCCTTTTTAGAATATGCATAGAATCACTTTCTGAGTCGATTTATGCAAGTCCGTCCGTCCGTCTGTTGTAAACAAAGTACAGGTCGCACGAAATTTGGCACAGCGTACTGAATTAGGTCTAGAATGATGTGTGTTAAGTTTCGTGAAAATCGGTTCAGATTTAGATATAGCTCCATGTTTATTTTCGTCCGAATTAAGGTAAATGTTGCGCCAAAGTCCCTAAAAATCGTTCGATTTGCACGAAATTTGGCATAGCGTACCAAATTAAGTATAGAAAGATGTGTGCTAAGTTTCGTGGAAATCGGTTCAGATTTAGATATAGTTCCCATATATATTTTCCTCCGATTTAAGGTACGTGGTGCGCCAAAGTCCCTAAATATCTTTCGATATGCACGAAATTTGACATAGCGTACTGAATTGAGTCTATAATGATGTGCGCTAAATTTCGTGAAAATCGGTTGAGATTTAGATATAGCTCCCATATATAGTTTTGTCCGATTTTATGTAAATGGTGCACCAAAGTCTCTAAATATCTTTCGATTTGTACGAAATTTGACATAGCGTACTGAATTAAACCTAGAATGTCGTACGTGAATTTTCTTGAAATCGGTTCTGATTTAGATATAGCTCCCATATATAGTTTTGTCCGATTTAAGGTAAATGTTGCGCCAAAGTCCCTAAAAATCTTTCGATTTGCACGAAATTTGGCATAACGTACTGAATTAAATCTAGAATGTCGTACGTAAATTTTCGTGAAAATCGGTTCAGATTTAGATATAGCTCCCATATATAGTTTCGTCCGATTTAAGGTAAATGGAGCGCCAAAGTCCATATATATCTTTCGATTTGCACGAAATTTTGTATAGCGCACTGAATTAAGTCTAGAATAATGTGTGTTAAGTTTCACGAATATCGGTTCAGTCTTAGATATAGTTCCCATATATATTTTCGTACGATTTAAGGTAAATAACGTGACAATTTCATGTCAATGTTCTTTGAAAAAGGCGACGTCTGTTAGGAGACTATGTAGAATATTCCCAAAGTGGTGAAGGGTGTTATATAGTCGGCCCAGTCCGACTTTACTACTTTCCTTACTGTTTTTTTTTTTTGTATTTTGGACTCAGTTCTTTCATTACATACTAATATCCCTATTTAAAATCACAGTGAATGCACTTTGAGAAAAAATGAAATTTGTTCTCTTCTCGTTTTTATGATTTCAAAATAATTGCGACACATTGAAAATTGTTATTGTAATTCTCAGTTGCTTTTTTGTGGTTTAATTTTTTTAATTGTCTGCTTTATTTGATGTTTAACAAAAATAGCAAACAACAATACATATCTATACAAAGATAAGTAATTGAAAGAAAATTCCAACAGATTCGTCAAAATTTGTTGGCATTTTTTTTTTAATATTGACATTACAATTATAAATGTAAACAAAGCGAGGTAAAGAGAGTAAATATCGAATAATGACGGCAATAGGCATTTGATTTTGGAAGATGAGTTTATCAATATTACGAACGATATTTTTGAAAACCCGTAAGGAAAGTAGTAAAGTCGGACGAGGCCGACTATATGATACCCTTCACCACTTTGGGTATATTCAACAGATGAATCCTAACAGACGTCGCTGTGCCAAATTTCGTGCAAATCGAGAGGTATATAGGGACTTTGGTGCACCATTTACATTAAATCGGATGAAAATATATATATGAGCTATATCTAAATCTGAACCGATTTTCCCAATTTCAATAGGATTCGTCCTTGGGCCAAATAAGTGACCTATGACAAACTTTATCCAAATCGGATCATAAATCTGACCTGTACTTTGTTCACAAAAATGCATGGACGGTCAGACGGACATGCGTAAATCGACTCAGAAAGTGTGTCTATTCATATTCTCAAAAGGAACCATGTTTCTATCTCGTTTTCTTTTTGCCTGTTACAAACATATGCACAAAGACATAATACCCTGCACCACAGAGTGGGGAAGGGTATAATGATTATCACTATAAGGAAAATAGCAATAATGTTGCTCAAATTTTTAAGGCCATGGTAGTTTTTTCTAAAATAACTAGGCTTTGCTTGAGAAATTTTTAAAATTATTTACCAATGTGTATGGCAGTTTTCGAATTCCAACAAGTCCTATTTTATAACAAAACTAGTTGGGATATTAATTTGGCAAAAATTCCCATAGGTCTGTTTACAATTTAAATATGCCATAAAAACATATAGGCATATTTAAATTGAATACAGGGCAATGGAAAATTTTTGTCAAATTAATATCCCAACTTGTTTTGTTATAAAACCCAATTCCATTCGCATAATA